GACACGGACAATCCGATGATAGCTGTTTACGGAATAAAGAATTAATTACAAGGAAGAAACAACAATAAAAATATCGGATTTCTATTCCAATCGCTTTTAAGAGCATTCTCTCAACAATTGCATTCGATAAAAGAAAAGAAATTCAACGAAAAGGAGAACGGTTTCTCGTTTCTTTTCTTTTCTTCAACATTTGTGTCAAGAGATTTGACTTTTCGCAGCTTGGTTATGTCGGTACGTTAAAACAGCCTTTTTTTGCAGCTTCAGGCCCAGTTTTTTATTATCTGGTTAACTTGCGGTTAAGCTTAACCTAATGTTTCACCCAATTCTTCTCAATCTCGAATTTTGCAAAGTTACAAATCGTTAGTCACGGCATTTTCACCGAAGATCAAAGTTCTTGAAGACCGTCAGAGATTACGTAAAGATTATACAGAATTTATTACTTCTTGTTTTTCTTGAATTTGAAACAAAAAGAAGATTACTTTTTGCGAGACTATTGTTCAAACGATTAAATGTTAATATGTTAAAAACGTCCACATGGAATAACAAATCATGATAACATCAAAATGACATTAAAAGAAATTTTAAAATGACATTAAAATGAATCGAAAAATAATTGAGAAAATGACTTTTAATGATCATTTTGACATCATTATTTTGATATCATAATAATTTATTCTATCTTGGATTATAAATCGTATTGCAAGTTGTCCTTGACGAAGGAGAATATATAATAATATAGTCGGTCTTCTCTATATGATAGGCATATGTACATATGAACTACACGTTGTATATTGTGTGCAAATGATGGCATAGTCCAGCATACGTCTGCGTTCCGACGTAAAATATTCTTGCACGTCGACGCGATGACAGAAGGAAGAAACATTCGCAGTTTTTCGATCCCATGGGCAGCATCACAGTGTACAAATGTAGCATTCGCTTGCTCCAAAAGCTGTTTCAATGCCGTTCTTTGATTTCTTCGCGTTTTGCCACGTGCAAGGTATTTCTCCTTGGATACGTAAAAAGCACGAAGCTGCAAGGGCACAATTCCGCAATATGTAAAAGATGTCGCGTATAAATTTGTGTATTTATGCTCGAAAGAAATATTGCAACGCAGAGGAAGAAACTTATCTTATATCGTAACATCGTCATATTATTTATGTATGAGAGATCAGTAATTAATTTATCTATAGAATAGTGCGTGATCCGTTACGCTTTCATGTCGAGACGACAAGCAAATTTCTTTCACTTCGGTTAAGAAAGAAAGGGCAAATAGAAAAAAAGAAAGACATTACAAATTTCATTATACGAAGAACACGGTCATGTTATGCGTCACGTAAGTGACGAAAATGTAAATCGCATAAATGTACGTTGCAAAATGAAGCGAAAGAGATGCCACGAACATTCTGCATGGGAAAGCCGATGGAACTCGATCTTCCGTGAAATCGAATTGCGACACGGTTTTCTCTACGTGGTCGATAAGGGACGAATGTCAATGTACACGTCGCTTAGCTATGTTGTATTTCGCAGCAAGTTGTTCTTGTACCAAGAAAGCGCTCTTCTGCCGGAATGGAATACGAATGAGTGAAACAACAAAACATTGAGAC